GTGGTAGAGCACTAGCCTTGAGCTGAAGAGCTGAGGGACAGCGCCCAGGCCCAGAGTTCAGGCCCTTTTTTCCTCCACATGTTTGAACTGCCAAATTTCTAAGTTCTTCAAAATTGTTTTTTGTTGTTTTTTTTTAACAATTCTTTCAAGAGGTTTAGCTAACTATCTCCAGCATAATTCAAAGGATAAATTTCAACAAGTTCCTAATACAGTGGTAAAACTATCCCACTTTCAATTATATTACTGTTCTCTGCTTTATGAATTTAAGGAAAACTAGAGTATGTTTCTGGTGCAATGATTTTCTATAATATCACCAATTTTGTAATGTTTTATTCATTATATTTGCAGAAAAGTGTGGGGATCAATGCATTTGGTGTAACAGTCACACGTTAGTATACTATCCTACTCAGAATCTATATTCATTACGGAAACCTGTAACTACCTTTGCTACCTGTAGCAAAACCTGAGGTGATTTCTGTTGTAAATTGGCTCTAATCTTCACAATGCTGCACATTCAAGATCTATCCAATTGAACATTAAATTTCAAAGAAAGAAAAAACAGGCAGTTATTTAACAGCTTGCAAGGAAATTCTGGTAGGACTTCAGTTCTCTTTGGTCTCAATTTCTCCTCGCCTTTAACAATAAGAAAACACTCTTCTATATTTGCATCAAGTCTATCAAAGATCCTATAAAAGATTTCTTCAGTTCACCACCCAAACCCCATCAAGGAACTCATTTTCCTTGTTTGACAAGGATCCATGTGAAACTCCAGATCTTTAAAGAATAAAGAAGAGACTTAATGTTCATTCGTTTCACCAAAGCAAAGGATGACTCCTGGTATCATGCTAGTCCCTAATTTTGACCATTTACTTTAGATATACTTAAGACATATTCAAAAGCAAAGAGTGCATATGCACAAATGAGGAACTTGTCATTTTTCTCTGCCTCAGACAACCACTATTTATTTATATAATATTGCTGGCCTCATAAAAGGGAATCCATTACCATCAGCAATTCATGTCTCTGCTTCAGCATCAGATGCAAACAGGATACGGAAACAAGATCTCTCTCCTCCATTTACTTTTTGTTCATTCCACCCCCTGGATAAAATCCTCAGCTCCATTCCATTGGCTTGCTTCACCATCTGACACTCCTAGCTTTTACCTTCTCAAGCCTTAGTGACCATCCTGGTGTTAGATTTCTGATTGTTGTTTTATCTAAATACTACTGAATGAGTTTGCTCATCCCATATCCCCACAATCCTCAAAAAAAAATACTACTTAAGAAAATAAATCTTATTTAACAGATCCAAATATCCACACCCTGCAAATAACCCAGCCTTAGCCTGCTGAAAATGTTTGACTTTTCAAAAGTAATTAATATTTTTTAAATAATTGTTTTGCTAGGTGGAAGACCTGAGCATACAGAGTTTCAAGACAGCAAATGCTTTTTCCTCAGTTATTATCCATGTAAAAAGTAAGGCATTAATTTAAAAAGTAAAATCCATACCTGGTTGATATCAGTAACCTAGGTGACTGGAAAAAAATAAAAGAATAAATAAAAGAAACTTGACCTGACCTCCACAGATAAAATTTGAGAAGCTACAAATTTAAGGCAGGGAAAAGAAGAAAATACCAAAACTTGTAGAATCTCTTTTATGCCAGAGAAGATAGGAGGGAGAGCAAAATGGACAGGAGGAATGAGTGTAGAAAGAGAAAAATAAACCTCCATTAACCCATACTTTAAAAACTTAAGTCAGGCAATCAAAACTTTGAACAGTCCATCTGATCCTTATCACAATGTAAAGTGAACTAAGTTATTAAGAATTATATTTTGTAAACGTTTTAATCAGAATTGCCTTTTTAACATTATACACTAAATACTACTGCTTTTCTGGACCTCTTAAAAAGAAGTGCTTAACAATCTTTATCTTTTAAAAACAAATGGAAGACTTTATTCCTTTAACCTCATGTGTCCTAGTCACTCTGATTTAAAATTACTTCTACATCACAGTTTTCTAAGTGCCGGTTTGCAAAGGAATCTGTGCAATTAATAATAGCCTTCCCTCAGTCTCCTCTTTCTAAAAAGCTGAGGATGGCATATCTCCTTATCTTCCTATTTGTTCCATTAGATTGACATATTTTGCCTCATCTGTCACCTCCCATAAAACTCTGCTTTCAGATATGAGTTAATTCATTTTTAGTTGTCCTCAATGTTCTAAAATAGTGATGTTTGACAGAATTAATACAGTGCTCCAGTTCTTTCTGTTCAACTGATATTTAATTAAAGATCTTGGAGGCCATCTTTCTCTAGGGCTACACCATTTAAAGGTGAAACAACACTTCCTCCTTGGACAATGTAGTAAGCCACATGGCAGCAAATCTGCCTCCCTTAAGTCTCCAGTAACAGGCTGCTTTACTACATATAAAGTATGAACAAAATGGATTATCACTTTATTTCACATTGATTGACCTGACTCCCATCTCTGAACCACAACTCTACTATTGCCTACATTCTCCTTAACCTTTTAAGTTCCAGAATTTCTATAACTGTCAGGGCCTCATTGTTTCAGCATGGTTTTTGCTCCTGCTGGATTTCAAAAGGATCTAATGGCGCTTTATTTGTAAGGTTTATTGAACATCTGATATCACAGACAATCTACCTTGGAGTACAAACCGAAAATTCCCTCTTTTAAATTCTTTTAAAGTAATATCTTTTGGAGACTAGCCCACTTGACTTGGTATGTCATAATAATTTTCTATTCAAAAGGTGGCACAGATAATTTAAATTGGCAGTTGCTATTTATTACATAAATAATTGTTCTCTTGGATGGCCTTTGGAAAGCTTGCAATACTTAATCTTTTTTTTTTTTTTTTACTATACTGGAACCATAAGAAGCATGTCAATTTAAGCAAACTTCTGGAGCAATAAACTAACAAACAGACTCTAGGTGGTGGTATAGGTTATTTTTTATCACACTGTTTTGCTCTTAAAACTCCAAGAGTCAGAAGGGCCTTCACCTCCTATACACACATTTTTTTTTCTTTTACTTTGAGTTTACAATACTTCAGGGTATTTAAATTAGGAAAGATCTGAATTTTATCGTTTGAAGCTGCAGATAAGACTTGATTCTAAGTTAAGTCTTCTTATACACACTCAACTGATTTTCAACTACTTCCAAGGCTTTAATAAGTAAAACTCAATGTGTAAACCCCCTCCCCCGCCTTTTTATTTTTAAAATAACATCTTTCCTTCCTAGGGGATTTTTAAAAGTAAGTTTGGAAAGAACTCTTTCCACACCAGTATGAAAAGCCTAGAGGAGTGCTTGCTCCCCTGACTGACTCCTTCCTTTGTCTCTAGGAAATCTGTCCAGGCAGAGAAAGTTACTAATGGTGATGGAGCCACTGTTCCATGAAGAGTCAAATCCTATCCTGGGAAAAAGCAGAGCAACTCACTTGGAAGTTGAAACACATTTCAACATACTGCAGACAGCAACCTACACTTAGGGGCCAGGCAGATGAAGCACCATTTGTTTAAAAAGTCAACTGATTTCACTGTCTCTTCAACAAAGGTACCAAACTGATGATTAAACATTGGATAATCACATCTGGAAGTTACCACCCACTTGCTAAGCCTATGATTCACTAATAAGCAGGTTCCATGCAATTCATAACTTTAAAGAATGAATTACTTAAACCCTTTGCTTCACAAATTCCCGAGAGACAAAAAAAAGAATATTCGTCACGTGTGTATAGGTAACCTAAATGTATTTTACTTTGGCCATCAACATCCTTTGGCCATCTCGGATCCTCTAATAGTTTATTCCCTCACAGTATCACACTTAATCCACTTACATTGCCAGAGACAAACTCTAACTCACTTGAAAGTTCCTGCACCTAGAAACACCTCAACTTTTCCCGAAATAAAATGTCCTAAAGAATATTAAAAAAAAATAACCTATCATTCTGCTCTTCTTCAGAATCGGATGATATTACTATCCTGGTAACAGCGAGGAAGAACTCCTAGAATGCTTCTGAGATCAACATGTGTCACAGACTCCCAGTGTGTCCGCCTCAACAACACAGTCGATCCCTTTGTTCTTTTAGCCCGGAACACCAACTCCTGATGAAAATCTGGACACTACTTTGGGGAGGGTGGTAGGGTCTGCACGAGATAATCCGCAGAAACCCTTCCTAAACTAACAATGCTCAGTCGCAGGAGTGGGCAGGATACAGTGTGAAGTGGGCAATGCAGCCTGCCAGGACTACGGGGGAGTCTGATTCCTTGTCCCAAGGGGTAAAACGACGAACAGGCCTAGGGGTCCCAAGGGCCTGGGGGTCCCAGGGACCTGGCCTTCAAGAGGCCAGAAGCCCGGGCGAGCACTGGGCCTGGCCTGGGACTGAGAACGGACTCTTCCCCATACACTCTTCCAGGCCGGGAATCGAGCGAGCCCGGGGCAGGGAGTCGCCAGGGCGGAAGGCGGGGAAGCGGTGCCCAGCGCCACCCGGGACGCGGCTGGGTAGCACCGGACTCGCAGCGCCCGGGAGGCCGGCGGGACACGGGGCGGAGAGGACCCCAGCCCCGCGCCTGAGCCACGCGCGTGGGTCCCCGCTTAGGGAGCGCACGGCGGCCACCCCTCGGCCCAGGACTGGGCACAGAAAGAAGAACGGACGGACGGACGGACGTGCGAACCCCACGGAGCTGTAACTCCACAACTTGCCAGCTCCGCCGCCCGGGCCGCCCCCCCTTCCTGCTCCCCGAGTTCCGGAAGGAGCTTCGGAAGCCGGGGCGAGTAGCACGATTCTCCCCCGCAAGCCGTCCGTGCCCGCGGCCGTGTCCCCGCCGCCGCCTGCAATCGCCGCCGCGTCCGGGCCGCGCAGGGCCGCCCCGACGCCCCCGCGGCCCAAACGGCCGCCGCCGCGGGCAGCGCTCCCGGGTCGTTTCCGGCGCCGCCGCAGGCTGCTGCTCCTAGCTTCCCCGGGGCCGCGATTACCACTCACCCGGGGCCGCCGGACTCCCAGTATTTCCGGATCCATCAGGCTCGCTCCGCATAGGCGCCTTCGCCGCCCCGTCCCGTCCTTCCCGGCCGCCCCAGCTGCTGGTCGCCCCCCGAGCCGCCGCGCCGCCGTGCGCGCAGCGGAGGAACCGCGAGGTCCCCCGGCGGGTGCGCGCGGCTGGGTCGAGCCTCCGCCTGGGCCGCCTCCGCCTCGGCCGCCGCCGCCTTCCTTCCCCGCCGCCGCCGCCGCCGCCGCCTCCCGAGTTCGGGGCTCTGCTGCAATGTCTGCGAGGCTGACTTTGAGCGCCTCGCTCGCCGCCCGCCCGCCCGCGGCCGCGCTCCTCCCTCCGCCCGCGACTCCGCCGCGGCCCAGTCCCTCCCCTCGCCGCCCCACGCCATTCAGCTCCTCAGCCAAGTTTCTTAACCCTTTTCCTCCCCTCCTCCCATTGTCACCCCGGCGGGGGGGGCGGGGAGCGCTCGGGTCCCGCCGCTCGCTCGGGAGGAGGAACCCCGCTGTGTGTTTGGTCGGGGTGCTACGATCTTATTTTTCTTTTATTGTCCCCTATCCCCGCCATCCAGGTGGCCTGGCCTGGAACCCTCAGGGCCCGGGAAATGGGGTGGGAGTGGGGGGTAGCAGCCGGCAAACGTGGGTGCTCGGGGCTCCCGAGGGAAGGGGGGGTCCCCCTTGATTCCCCGCCTGGACAGATCCTCCCCCAGGGGAGGGGACAGGCGACATTGCTAGTACCCCGGCCTAAAGGCTTACCGGCGGGAGGGGGTGTGTGTCACAGTACGGGAATCGGGGTGTCCTGACCTCCCCAGGAACCCCGGCCCGGATGCTGGCGCCTTAAATGTGTCCCTCCTCCCATTCCAGCCCTCCCCGCGCGCGCGCACACGCGCACACACACACACACACACACACACACACACACACACACACGCACGCACACACCACCACGCGTTTTCTTGGCTTCTGTTTCAGCCACCCTCAATTTCCACCTTGTAATCTTGTGTCCTGCCTGTCATCTGGGGGTGGTTGGGAGGAAACAGGGGTACCCCTATAACTCTAGGTCACTCTGGACACCCCCCCTCCGCTCCTCCCCTCCCCCTTCATGTCTAACTGCGGGTAATAAAGGTTCAGAGACTCCCGGGAAGGAAAGCTGAGGAGTGAGGGGACCCCCCCCCTTCACCCGGCTCTGCCGCTCCTCACTCTCGCTCCCCGGAGGGAGGGAGGGACCCCGGGAGCTGGGTTTAATCTCCAGCTGCTTTGTCACTGCCAAATCTCCAGGCCAATCTCTACCCTGCCCGGGTGCCCAAGACAAGGCACCCGGAGCCGGGTGGCGACTTCTTCTTGGGCAGCTCTCCTGGGCCCCGTCTCCGAATAAATAACAATTACATCACGAGGGCCGGGGAGGCAGCGCCGTGACACCCGCCTGCTTCTCCTGCAGCTGAGGCTGGCTGAACCCGCCTCTACATGGTGGGTGGGGGAAGGGTGGGGAGAAAAGGGGTACAGATTGGTGAAGCGAGAAAGTAGGAGGAGAGAGTCACACGAAACCATAACCCCCACCCCGCTTCTTGTAGGATGCTGCTTTAAAAAAATCATCATATTCTCCAGGCTCCCCAAATATGCAACTAGAACCATGAACGCCCCCCAACACCTCCCCAGATGTCAGCTTGCTTTCTGACTTTTGCATCTAGCATTTGGTAACTCGCCATGAAAAAGAATTTTTTTAAAAAAAATATTGTTTTTAAAGTGCCAGGGGAAATGAGAGCTTGTTGTTGCTGAAATTGTTTCAGCTTGACAGAGAAACGCTGAAGTGTAGAGCTGAGGCTCTGAAATGGCAAGCCTGTGTGAAAACATTTACTAGATAGAGGAGTGCACGAAGCTCTCTCTCTCGTCGTCGGTAGGTTTTCATATCCTAACGAATTGGATAACATTTCGAAACAAAAGTTGTTAGTGTACTTCAAAGCAAAGCAAAACATCCGACTCCTAAAACTGTATTCTGTGCATGTTATGTAATCACTGTGTTGTGCATTCAAAATTTAACCTTTAAAAAAAATGAATGAATTCTGGAATACCTTCTCAATCTGGGAAGTGAAAGCAGTTTTTCAAATTAGTTCTTCATAAATCTAGTTCCTAGCACAGGGCTGGATAAAGATTAGCAACGTTTTACTCAATGGCAATGGTGCATTTTAAAACGTTTATCCTGCATCACCATAGTTATTCAACTATGGAATCCATTGCCACGTAATATAGTGTAGACCTCATATATTAAATAACATATGTCTATATGCTACAGTTCAAACTCTGCTAAAGGAAAGTTAGTAAAGATTATTTTTCTATGGTGTATCCTTTATCCAGAATTGATACAGAGTAAATCAATAAATAATAATCAGCAGCATCAGAGCTTAACCCTCTAAGTGGGTCACATTTCTTTAATCTATAATTATTCAAAGGCTTTCTAAAATATATTTCTGATTTCTCAAGCATTTATTTGGCTTCCTTTGAAAATGCAGTGCCATACCATTAAAAGTAATGATTATAATAGTTGATAGTAAATTCAAGAAATACTTTTCAGCTAGGGTCCCAGTGGTTCAGAGTGTAATACTAGCCACTGGAGGCCAAGATCCCAAAATTTACATTCAAAGCTAACCTGAACATAATAGAGTGTGTAATTCCATCTCCAAAATAGGCATCAAAGAGCTGAGCTGGAGATATGGTTCAAAGGGTAGAGAACCAACAGAGCAAGCAAGCCAAGCAAGGAGAAGACCTTGAGTTCAAACTCCAGTACTGCCAACAAAGAAAAAAAAATATATATATATATACATATATATATCTATATACGTGTATGTATATGGAGGGGGAGAGAGAAACAGAGTGTCAACATTATATTTTCATCACTTAAGAGAGAAAAAAAAAAAGCAAATTAGAGGCCTGTGTTATACAGCAAGTCCCTGACTACTGTGAGCTATGTCTGAAGACTTGTTACAAAAATACAAGAGCTGGGGATGTTGGGAAGTGGGGAAATGGTAAAATATTTACTTCTCTTTTCTGTCAGTGGCTATTCAGACTGCTCTGGCTGCTTGATTACCTCTACACTTTGTAATATATCTCTCTCCCCATTGACTAATAATGTATTGTCTTTTCCCTGTTTTTAGCATTTCTGCTTCTAACATTGACGCTTTGTAATTGGCAGTTTTTGAGTCTGGGAAACTGGACAGCTTCACTTGTCATGATTCTGTCTAAAGTAGAACTGAATAGATTGTATGTAAGAGACTGACGATGTGTTCAACCACAGAGTAAGGCAGATGCACTTTTCTGCATAGATTTGAAGATGCCTATTTGCATTACCCAAATGTTATTTTAAAAAGCAAACTGGTTTTAAAACCAGGTTTTGAATCATTGAGATTGTCCAACAAGCCAAGTGATGGCTTTGCATTCCAACGTAAGTGCTCAAAATCCACTGACTTATGTTAAATAACTTCCTGAAGAAGCTACTCAAGTCTTGCTAATTTATCTTCTCAACCCCATAGAAATAGTCATTGAAACCCTGAACTCTATTTGATGGTGGATTAGTGTTAAATTAATTGCACACCTCTTGTAGAATTCATTTTAACGTAATCATGCTAATTGTGTAGAGACTATTTTGTTGTTGTTCTTTGTTTATTAAAAAATCAATAGGTATGTTGCCAGGCTAAGAATGTCATTGCAAGGATATTGGGGCATATGATTAATACAAGAATGTCTATACAATAATGTATAGTTTGAAGTCAACTTTCACCAAACCATTTGTGATGGGGAAATATGCCAATTCCATTTCTTATTCCCTAAGATCATCATTCCTGTGCAATCTTATACTATGTTTTAGGCTTCCTATACCTATCTGGCTACTAAGAGTCTTAAAAAAGATAAGTTGATATGTTCACTAAATCTCTCATGGTTGGCATTTTCCAAAGCATTTCTTCCAAAGCATTTCATGACAGAGTATATACTCATCAGTGTCCTGTTCTATGTGAGTATATACAGGCATGGGGTGCATTCGCTGGAGAGTACATGCACTCCCTTCAGCCACGGACCCTATGCGGAATGAACAGAAGTCACTCAGTAGTTGTTGACCAAGATGCTGCCATATCCCAGAACAGAGTGTTTATTTCCTATTTGAGGTATAGATGATGTATAGTAGAGGGAGTCCAAAGAAAATTTTTACAGTGAGAAACATGCCTCCTGTGGCTATTAAAAGTTTGCCTATTGAGCAAAATAAGAAAGGGATTCTCAGGCTGTTGAACACTAAAATGGTATAAGAAAACAAAAGTATTCCCTGAGAATTGTGCCCTATTAACACTCTAGATTGAACTAGGACATCTGGGAAGATGTATATAATTGATAATATGCAAAAGGAACCACAGGACAATAAAGCTATTAGCCTTTCAATTCATAGTATCTTAGGAGAGCACAGATTCATAAGAACATGAAGTGATCAAATTTAAGCTACATGCATAATTTAAAAATTCTTAGTAGCCTCAGTTAAAGAGTGTGCACCATATAGATACTTTATGTTATATTTTATTCTTTTGAAGATGAAACCTTCAAAATCCAGTACCTTTCATATGCACATCACGTCTCATTTTAGAGGAGATTTCACGTGTTTGGCAGACGTGTGGCTACTGACTACCAAACAGAGTAGCATAACTCTAGACAATGTGGAAATCATATAACTGTTTAGTGGTATAGTTAAGGAAGGTTATTTTTCTTACAATGAAAATCAAAATCTTGTAAAGTTTTAAGATTTTATTTGTGTTGATTACCAGGTTTTAATAATACTATCCCATAAAGCCTACTTTTGTATGTCTAGGCTTTTATGCCAATTAGAGAATCAGCAAAGTTTACATTTTATGTACTCTGTCTTCATTAACCATACTGTGGTTACAACGACTCCAATGTCTATTAACTCTGGTGGGTGGACTGTAAATGTAAACTGCTTTATGGCAGAAATAAAACGCTATAAATTGTGGGTTGAATAAGCTTTAGAAAAGTCTTCCTTAGAATAAGAAACTGCCTCTATTCTACTTACCGTCAAGTATCTTCCTAGC